TCACGCAGTTGTATTTTTATACACCTGTGTGTTTATACACACAGGAGTGTGAAATACACAGGAATATAAAAATACAACTGCGTGAAACACACAGGCGTATAAAAATGCAACTGCGTGAAACACACAGGCGTATAAAACTTCAACTGCGTGAAACACACAGTAGTATGAAACTTCAACTGCGTGAAACACACAGTAGTATGAAACTTCAACTGCGTGAAATACACAGCAGTATGAAAATTCGGCTGCGTGAAACACACAAACTTCACGCATGCGTGGAGTGTATGGAGTGTACGGGAGTGATTCACGCAATGGTACGAATAGTCACGGCCTAAAAAAAAGTACTGATTTTTTCGATTTTACATTATAAACAGTTTATTTAAAATGAAAGTAATTTTTCATTCAACATTGCGGCATTCACATTGTGGTGATATTCTTTGCCCTATGGAAAGTGATATCATGGGAATTTTTTCATATTTTCAACGATTTTCGTCAAGAATAAAAGTGCTCGGTTGTTATGACGTTTTTACGTATAAATAATGCGTTTGATCCTTGATAATCCTTGATAATGGGTCAAATGACGGTAACACACGTTGAACAACGAAAAACGCTTGGCTGGATTTGTTCAAAGAATAATAAGGGGAGACTATATAATGTCGCTGTGTACTTGGGCTGTGCTGTTATGTAGTCCAAAAGAGACACTATGTACAGGCTTGGGGATTCTCTTTTATTATTGTTAAGAACCCCTGCCACTTTGTGCTCCACCCCCACCTCCTTCCTCGCCCACCTTCTTTTCACCACCACTGGAGGTTTTTATTTTCACACAATGGCAGAGTTGTTTTCGTTTTTCGTTTTTATTTTTGTCCCCCCCCTCATTCCTAGTTACAGTAGCGCTTCACTCCCCATTCATTCCCGCTTTTATAAACTCCTTCGCTCAAAAAAATGTCTATACAGTGTCTTAATAGTTTCATAGTAATTAGCAATTACTAAAATTATTAAAAAATGAGAATCATCTCTCGGTGGGATTTTCAAAAGTTTGCTGTAATTCTTTATCTGATCCACCTGTATTGGAGGTTGTTGTGAAAATTGATAGATGGCACTTGTTGGAGAATTGTTGGGATACTTAGTATAATGATGAGGAAATTGCAAATTCCAGGTAATTTGTGAAGTTTATGAGAGGTTGAAGGGAGGAATACCTTGATCGCGTCAATGAGAGTAAAGGGTGGGATAATATATTATGGAATTATGAGGAAAGATAATGGAATAATTGGACGCAGCCAGGACGCAATATAACGAAGAGTTTTGTCAAAAATTTTCTCATTTGAATGAAAATAATTTGATTAATTTAATTCAAATAAATGATTTATTCAATTTCATCTCGTCGGCTATGATGAGAAACTAGAGTCTATGATATGCTAAAATAACTCGCAGAGATATGAAAACATCAATTAATGGTTAAATTAAACCCAACAATTCCGTCAGTTCGGAGATGAAAATGTTAAACCCAACACGAGACTCTATTTAATTCCTCGAACGTGCATTGTATTATCGGCGGACGGGATGGGTGTAGGTATTTATGCCGACGTACGCTTATCTCGTATAGCTCCGCTGTTTCATTCTTGCTCAGTGAGTTTGAATAATGCTAGTTGGCTATGTACGATATATGTAGTTTCTAAACACCATTGGCTGAAAACTAAATCATTATCTCAAATGAGGATTTATCAAGTTTCTGAGAATGTGAATTTAATTATCCATGCATTTCATACTAGGAGTATTGTAATAGATGATTGAGCTCATATTGGGTTGGCTCGCTAAACTTTACGCAATGAGTTTTGTCTCTCTTCTGTCTGTGATAAATAATACATCTCCTTCTTTTTCTTTTTCCAAGCTTGTAAAAATGCTGAAACTTTGGTACAGTCGGTCCATTACATCTTTATTATACTCCATTCATTCTTACTGGCGATCGATTTCTCGGAAACATGAGGTTGATACAGCCAAACGACTCGCATTAGGTGGGTTTAACGTTTCGAAACTTTTGCCACGATGTGAGGAAGGAGTTACCGGCCGGCTCGGTCAATGGTGGACAAGGAATTCATGATATGAATGCTCAATGTCCCTCACACATTGATACTATAAAAGTTACAATATCCGCCATTAATACTGTAAATGTTTCAAGTTTATGGCTTTTCTTTCGGGCACACAAGTTATTAGATTGGAGACTTATTTTGTTTAGCATTGTTCATCTTTGTTCTATACTGAAAAAAAAAACAAAAAAAAACAAATTCTAGACTAAATTTTACTCAAGGAGATTTTACTTAATGATCGAAAAAATTGCGAGTTGGAATAATCCGATGGAAAAAAGTCTTGCGACAGTGCCGCACCTGCTCCAAGCTCAGTTACAGCCAATTCGTTCATTTATTTTTCTCACCGACCTGCTTCTCTCGTACGTTATGTTCGGTGAAAAAGAGAGGGAGAAAGTAGTGATCCAAGATTTATGTATTTTCGCGCACGGAACCGAGTATAGTATCTGCTTTATGACTCAGCAGATGAGGGAAATGGCCGAGCCCACGCCAGCAACTAAAACCGAAGGCTCTCCTCCCATCCTAGTTGTTATTTTTTCTCACGGTTCTTGCCTACGAAAAAATTGTACAGAAAATCAATAGAATTCCGTTTAGAATTTTAATACAAGATTCCCCTAATTTTTTTGCTCTCACCTTTTCATTTTTTCATTTTTTCAATGAGACGAGAATACAACTGGAGAATGAGAAAATACACGTAATAAAGCTGTAGAATTGCTTGTCGTCGTGCAAGAAAAATAGTGAATAATCATCTCTTCAACCAGAATTCTGTGTTAGTTAGCTCTTGTTTGCTTTGTCACTCATGTCTTAGCAATTCTACCCAATCAATCACTGTAAATAACCCATCACAATGATGTGGAAAAATTTGGTTCAATCGTTGGTAGAGGACATATATTTCTGTCATTCCTGTAGCATTGAATAGAGGACAAACCAATCCCCACGTAATCGTGCTTGTTGGTGTAAGAATCGATGATCCGTACGGGCCCCCCGGACACTATCGTTGCATTTACGCCCGGATGAGTTGGTTGAATTGCAATGGATAAACCATGGGAGTTTGTCGTTAGGGGTATGATGAGCCATGTGTACACCAGGATGACTGGATCACAGCGGTGGAGGGGAT